ATACTTCGTGTATCGCAAAGACTGAAGATTTTATGGGAATCGACAAAGGAGTTCGGTGACGGAATCCATGTTGTAACCCTTTCCTTCATATAACGAGATAGTTCAGTGAGCTTCTTGCAGCGGCAGTAGTATACAGCGGCAGTAGTATACTAGTAGCAGCAGCAGCAGCAGCAGCAGCAACAGCTGCAGCAGCAACAGCAACTCACACGAGTGATCAGGAAAGGCACAGCCCGCCTACGTGAGGTGGCGGTGCATGTGCTCGAGCTCCACATGTTAAGCCACATCTATCTTCAAATGTACCCCGATGGAACACTGGCAGGTTTGATGTGAAAGTGGTAAGGGCCTGGTGCAGGGGTGAAAATGTAGTATTATATATGGTTGTCCGTAAATGGCGTCCTTCCGCTTCACAGCGTCCTTCATCCTGTTCTGCTGCCGCTGATTGATTGTAGGTTCTCTTGATTGTAGGTTCCCTTCTAGACGCTCCCATCATTCATCACATATATCATAATCACCCTATGCTGCTGACGGGCCTGCATTAGTAAGAAGACCCAATATATATTAATGTTCTCGGATCCAGCACACATATTATGTTCTGACGTGGACTATAATAATAAGTACGCCACCAAACCCAAAACTGGTTCTCCGGCAATTGAAGCCGTCAATGTTGGCCCCGCATGGAGAGGTTTGGAATTGTACACTCGGGGAAAGACGTGGTCATGGATGTGGTCATGCGGGGGGTTTCCTGTCATAGATCTGGTCATGTTGCCTCATGACCACTCATGAGGCCTCATGACCGGTCATGTTACCGGTCATGAGGCAGAGTCATGGTCATGACAGTTGTCATGCTCCTTGTGAAGCATGACGGATCATGAATTGCCACTTATATATGTAAATTCAGTCATGTTCCCAATGGTCATATGCTGGCTATGTGTTCATGTTTTGTTCCTTTCTAAAAAGTGACAATTATATGTACTCAATCCCCTTCCTTAAACCCTGTTATAAATTTGAAAGACATATGCTACACACTTAAGCCATCTACTTGAGGTTTTACTAGCAAAGAATCTCTCATGCTGTGTTCAAGCTAGACATTTCGAACCACCAGCTCGCACTGTCAGCATTGTTCTTCACAACTCCTGTCTGTATGTACAGGACAGGCTAAATCGAATTAGCCTGTAATAGTAATAACAGAATTCTGTTATGACTTATTCAGAAGCATGCAAGTACCAATTGAGTTCACCATCTTTCAATAAGTAGTTAACATCACACTTCCAGAGTCTCAGACTGATAGGCTCTTAGGGTCACACACAGTGCCCCATGCTCCCAGGCTCTAATTCACCCAGCCCCCAGGCTCCAAGTAACACACGCTCCTTGGCCCAGGCCCCCAAGCTCACAGTCACTAACAGTCTTCGTCCCCCAGTAACACAGGCTCCTAAGCACCCAGGCTCTCTATTAGGCTATCAGTAACACAGGCTCACAGGCCCCAAAGCTGTCAGGTCGCTGCATGCCTACTTTTCTTTTTCTTTTGGTGGTGGTTGCTGTCTTAGGGTTTCTTACATTCACAAGCATCTCTGCCAGCAATTTCACCTCTCCTGAACATGGAATGCAAGTCCCCCAGTCTGCCAGTTCTCCAGTCTCCCTATCTCCTAGCCTCCCAGTGTCCCAGGCTCCCAACCTCACAAGCTCTTAGGCACCCAGTCTCCCAGGATCCCAGCCAATCTTCCAGGCTCTGAGTCACCCAGGATCCCATCCTAACAACCTTCCAGTCTCCATGGCTCCAAACCTCCCAGCCTCAGCCTCAAATGCCACCAGGCTCCCAGTCTATCAGGCTCCTATGCACCCAGTCTCCCAGTCTCCCAGTCTCTCAGTCACACAGGCTCCTAGGCTCCCAGTCTCCCAGTCCGCCAGTCTGCCAGTGTCCCAGTCTCCAAGAACTCCAATACTCCCAGTCTTCCAGTCCCTCAGTCTCCTTATCTCCTAGCCTCCCAGTGTCCAAAAACCCTAAGGCTCCCAACCTCACAAGCTCCTTGGCACCCAGTCTCCCAGTCTCCCAGTCTCCCAGTGTCCCAGTGTCCCAGCCTCCCAGTGTCCCAGCCTCCCAGTCTCTCAGTCTCCCAGTCTCCCAGTCCGCCAGTCTGCCAGTGTCCCAGTCTCCAAGAACTCCAATACTCACAGTCTTCCAGTCCCTCAGTCTCCCTATCTCCTAGCCTCCCAGTGTCCAAAAACCCTAAGGCTCCCAAAGCTGTCAGGCTCCCAGTAACACAGGCTCCCTGGCATTCAGGCTCCATAGATTCTAGAGGCAAGGCTCCCAATCTCTCAGGTCTTCAGGCTTCTAGGCTCCCCCCCAGGCTCCTAGGCTTCCCATGCTGACAGGCTCCCAGGCCGATGCATAGCTATAGTGACCCAGATAATCAGTGGTCACTGGTACTGTAGTAACGTGTAAAGTACATTTTGCCCTTGAGCATTCCCTGTGGGGCAGCAACAATCACTTTTCCATCAATCAACTCAAGAGGGACAGCATAGAGGGGCCACCTCCAAATGCCACTTGCAGGCTTCCTGCCCAGGGCTCGATCCATGTCCACTTCTACCATAGCAGGATTGACGAATGAACCCTTGAATAGGTCGACTATCGCCAAAGTCAGCATGGTGGTTGATCCACGGGGGCTAGATCGGGGCATTGCTGGCAGGTTGGTGAAGTACTTGACCATGCCAATATATGGCACAACCTGATCATTTAGCCCCCGCCAAGCCAAAAGCACCCAATATGATAACCTTGCTGAAGGTCGCTTGTATAATGTACTGAAGAAAATGTCTCCGTTCCACTCGGCTCTGCTGGCCACGGTGGCAATTTGACCTTCAATGGTGGCATCTTCTGCTGATGGGTCCACAAGTGGCATAAGAGCCTCCCAGCAGATATTGTAAGGAGGCCTGCCGCAAGTCCATGACCGCACAGACTCCAAAGCATGTGCCTGGTCCTTGACAAGGCGTTCAAAGGCAACTTTGACCTCCTGTGCTAACAAGGGGTCCTTCTGCAGTGGGACAGAACTGCCTATCAAGTCAGTATGTTCATCAAGTGCAGACTGGGATTTGCACTTGGGATGCAGGGGATCAGCCTGGCGAAAAAACATGAAGAGCTGCTGCATTGACCTCAGTTGGACACCAGAAGCATCTGCCCCTTCTTTTACATTGCGCTGAGCACGCCTGATGCACTCCACTACAGCGAAGTGCTTGTCTGGGAAGCGACTGACACCCCTGCCCGTGGCTGACTTGGCAGCCTGCATCTGCCTTTCCACCACGAAATCGGCATCTGCTGCTGCAGAGCCACGGGCCATCTCCTGGTCGAACAGCCTGTTTTGGCACAGCAGCGGTTAAAGGCAAGTAGCAAAACAAAGACATGTAAAACTAGACAAATGTCATGCTGAAAGGCCTACATCATGCTCAGTGAATAGTATGCATGTGCACCAAGTGAGGGGATATGTTAACTATATTGGGCCATGTACATGTTGGGCTAGCATAATATCTTTCCCAAAGCACGGCTACTGGAATTCTTACCGGCAGACACAGGTATGTAGATTGATGGTGAACATGTAATCCGGAAAGCCCAGCTGCTCAATAGTGGCGGCATACTGAAACAAATTTGCCCAGCCTGCACATGCTGTCTTCTGGAAGGCAGCTACAGAACCGTCACCATTCTCATCAGCCACAAAGGGCCTGAAATAATGCTGTACAGTTGCTGTTAGCAGCTTCCAGCACTCTGAAAGTGTTGGTGGCAGGGCTTGCATGAACACATAAGGTGCAATTGCCTCAGTGAAGTGAAGATAGTCCTCCATTCTCCATGTACCCCTGTGGGTTGGCAACAGCTTGATGTCTTAAGATTCAAACACCTTAGAATCCTAACAGACTTGTACATGTTGTGCAGCACCACAATACTGGATCAGAATTATAACACCAGACAAAGAGTACTCAAGGGAGCCAATCCCACAAGAACGGCATAGCTGCTGCATATATGCCAGCCCAATCCTCACCGGTCATTGATGACACAGGTGTACTTCCGTCCAAAATCAGAGGTGAGGTAAATGTGCTTTGCACGGCTGCGGATGGTCCGGCGTTCCTCAGCAGCAACAATAGGAAGCTGGTCATTGCTGGTGGTTGACCGGAAGATGAATGCAAGGAAATTTTCGACCACACCATAAAGCAATGCATGGCCAATGGGGACAACGAATAGGTCCTGCAGGCTGACATACTGCAACTTGGCAAAGGGTACGGACTTCCAGCACCCATGCTCATTTGATGCACGCTCATATGCCGTGGCACTCAATGTGGGGTTAGGGAGGCAGTGAGCATGGAAATGGTTGTCCATGCTGACCCCTCGAGCCCGCTGCATGCTGTCAGTGAGCCCCAAGCAAGGGTCCCCGACCTGGACTGGTACGCCGTTAAATCTGTATGCATGTCACAGTAAAGGGGACCATGAACTTGTAGGAATGTGCACAGGGATGGTCACATTCTCACAGTTGCACCAAGCTTAAGTGTGCCCAATATGAAGCCCCAGCAGGCAAATGTTTTACAAACTCCTTTGATTCAAGCACCAAGGTGACATTAGGTGTAACACAGCAAAGGCGTAACCCGGGATGCTCAGATTGGCATTTGCGTCGTTACATTGCCCCCCACTTAGCAATGGACGTCCTCGACCGACCCGATGTTTGTTACAGAAATCGTGTGGTCCCGTCTCGATACCATTGCAACACAGCAAAGGCATAACCTGGGATGTTCAGCTTGGCAATTGCGTCGTTACATTAGGGCATTCAGGCTACAGGCCTCCAGATATCTAATGACCCATTTTGCATGACACCCACTCACCTGCTGTGTGTCACCCCTTTGGCATATCCCTTGAAACGAGCTGTGCTACTCTCTGGTGCAGTGGCACCCTCGAATGTACACCAGGGGCAGGCCCCATGTATGGAGTTGTGGCCCCTGTAGCATCCAAGGTCGGTCCTTGCTGGCCCATCCGCCATTACAGAACCAAGGAAGGCATGGTGGGAGATCGTGTTGCAGATGAGGGAGCCATCTGGTCCATAGTACACCTCATCGACTGTCATGGGAATTCTAGACAGCCTGTCCAGGTCATCGATCACCCTACTGAGATGAGGTCCAAGATTGCTTGGCTTTTTGGGGCCAGGGATGATACCAATAACTGCACAGTTCCAGTTCTTGCTCTTATTTTCTTCCTTTATGTCCGCACAGCGGATAAACATGATGCCCATGGAATACTTGGCGCTCTTGTATGGCTGTACCCAATCAACACCAATGTCGTAAAATGAGTTGTGTGGGCTGTATACAGCATCACCAAGCTTGTCTGGCCTGGACAGGTGTGTCTTCAAGTAGGTGCCTGGAAAGCAAGGGAGACAAGTCAGCTGAGGTTGTATGACATAAGGACATGTGAGTAATAGGTTGTAGGGATGGGCACCTATGTGTTGTACCCACCTTCCCACCAGGAGCCACCTGCATCTGGGCCAATGCGCCTGAACTTTCCACGCTCACTGCACCACTGCTTGTCAGAAAACAGCTCCCGAATTGCATCCTCAACACCGAAGTAAACAGTGTACGGTGTTGGCTCTATTTTAGGATCTCCTGGAGAGGAGCACAATAAGATAACAAGTGCCGGGATTGGGGTTGTGTTAAACCCTTTCATCCAGTTGATAAGCACAAAACAACTAACTTTCCACAAAAACAACTTCGACTGCATTCATAATGTGGGAGTACTATATTTATTACCCATCTGACATACAATAAATCATACAGTATCCAAAACCAGCTTACCCAGTCATGTGAACCCTCGAGGGTGAGCTCACCTCCAGCATCCTGACACAAGGTGCGGACTTGCTCACAGTTCGGGCACTTCGTGAGCCGAGCACCCTCCACCTCTTTGGTGCTGAAGATGTGGCCCCGGCACTGCTTGCTGTCACAGATGAAATATTGATGGGTGGTCCAAGCACTAACCTCAGTCAGTTTTTTCAGCATGTACAGGGTTGGTACACTAAAATTGTAGTGGCCTAACGGGCAAGTATATTTCATACAGCTGAGCCAGAACTCAAGCTCTGCACGCCCAGGAGTTGTTAGCTCCATCTGCTGTAGAATGGTGTAGAGTTGCTGCCGTAGGGTCACTGGGTGAGTATAGACAGGCACACCGTTGAGGCTGATCACGTACAGTGGGCTGTCCAGATGCTGCAGGTACCATTGGGCAGAGCCAGGCTTCTTATATGGCAATCCGCAGCCACATACACAGAGAATGCCACCCGCCGTGTTTGCTTGGGGCACCTCTGGTGGTAACTGTGGGGTTGTTCACATAGGAAATGCAAACACAAGTTGTGGTAGCCGGGCAGATGGTCACCGAATGAAAGTAACCTGAAGGTGGCTATCCTAGATCAAGTTACAAATTACATAGCAGTCCCAGTTAAGCCCATCATGTCACCCCAGAATTCTACCTGGTTGGCTGGCTCAGTGTTATATGGGAGGTCCTCTTCAAGCAGATTCCAGAGGATGTCTGACTCCGTGCCTGCAACATACCAGTATAAACCGTTGATGTATGTGACATCACTTCAAAATGGGGGGATCAAACACGTCCGGTAAATAGAAGTTCCCATGGTATCAATCCCCTATCAGACATGGCAGTACTAACACTAGATGCATCACCCTGCAGCTGCATGAGCTGAGGCAGGTCAAGCAGCATGTGGTACGCACCAAGCTATCAGTCATACGAAAACTGGAGCATTGCCTAGAGCATGGGAGAAAGAGTGGATATGCTACAGATGGAGTATGCTAGCGAATACACTAGCTTACCTTCCGCCAAATCATCCATGTTAGCTGCAGCTGTTGCATTCTCACCCACAGGGGTATGGTCGGGTATAATGTCTTGCATGTCTGGGTCTGTGAGGAGTGTGGGGTAAATACCGATTATATTTATTGGCATGTCAGTGTGGGTGGTTGAACATGGATTTGTTAATGCAGGGCCTGTGCAAGTGCACCAAAAATAGGCATTGAGCAAAATAGTGTTTGTTCAGTGGGCATCAGGGCTCGTTGAGAGATGTTTATGTACCCCACGCACCAGGCCCAAGATTGATGGCACCATCCACACCAAAATCCTCCTCCCAAACACCCATCATGTAGTCATTGGCCATGGCAGTGTAGTCATCCATGGCATTGCCAGTGGCAGGTGAGGTAGTTGTAGCGACTGCAAGCACATAGGAGGCACCACAACCTTAAAAGTGGATCCTTTCATGGCATCTTCATTGGGGTGTATCCATGAATGTTGCATAACTTGTGATTTACCTGCTGCATCAGTCATGTGTACAATATTGTCTAGCTCGACCCCGTTACACTGGTCAGAAGCTTCTGCTGTCAGCACTTCACCTACAAGACATGTGACAATACACAGAACAAGTGCCAGGTACATGTCATTGTATCCATGTTTGATGATATGTGCATGTCTCTCTGTACCTTCCATGTCAGCAGATGATGAGGACTGCTGGGCGCCATCAGGATCACTTAGTGTGCTTTGGTGCCTCATGATAGGCCCAGGTTGAGAGCCAAGAACCATGACTGGGCCAGCAGGCAGGTCCTCAACTGTTCCAGAAAAGAAGGGTGCAGGTCGCCTTGCTGGAGGAAGTGGTTGGCGGAAAGGCCTCCGGCCCACTGTGATGCCTGGAGCATGTATAGGCAGTCCTGTGTGCTGCACTGTTCCCACAAAGGTAGCACTAGGGAATCGATGGTGCCCTGCTTGCAGTTGCACAAGATGTCTTCCATCCGTCTTGTTCATAGCTGGTTCGGCTGGTGTTGCATTGTATTCAGGCACATCTTCATGCCCCTGATCCATGGAGGGATGTATGGTTGCATCATGTCCTTTTACAAGGGGTACCTCCATACTCCACCCCCTGTCTTTGCACTGGTGCCGATATGCATGTGACCGACTACCAAACCAGTTGGCACATTTGGTGCAGTGAAAAGGCAGGTAGGAGTGCGGAGCTACATCCGGTCTGTAGATGATCTTTCGTCGTTCGGATGCCGCCTCCAGCGCATTCATAGACATGGCGAACTGGCTAATGTGACCAGTAAGAATGATCACAATGTGTAAGAATACCAGAACAGTTACGTTTGCATCAATTGTCGAGCGTCTACTGCTTCTACACAAGCAAGCATTTGGTCCCGCCATGACCAAAGAGCATCCTATTCTCTTGAATCCTCTCGGGTCCTGGCCAGGATTTAAATGATGCAATCAACAAAGTTTGGTATCCACGAAACAACTTCTCAAATTTGAATTTGCAGCCTTGTGAACTATATACCAGTTCTGTACACAAGTCGCCTGGAAGTAGTACGGCAGTCTTTAACAAGGCGGCTAAATCACGCCCTCATGTTTTAAAACAACATAAAGCCCCGTAATGCTAATTTTGTAAGAATCAAGATCACCGAGGAAACGTTTTAGACATGGAAGCAACTGGACTTCCCATTTTCGAATATACCGCCAAAGAAGTTAAGCGACTCTATGCAGTTCATAAACAGTCAGGAAAAGATTTGAACTTTATGCTATTTAGCCTAGCCCGAGTAATCTCGAACCTTAACAGCGGCTCAGTAGTCCAATTTGAGGGGTGGTCTTCTGTTGCAGCCGGACTAGGCAGCTCACCTTCAACAATTCTTAGCCTGAATTTCTGCAAGGATGGCGAGGTAAGGCTTGCAACATGCATATTGCACTCGGCACATCGAGATTTAAACCTGTTGCTATTGTCCCGTTGCAGAGCGCAACACTTGCAAACCTACTAGGAATAACTTCTACCAATGACCAGATAAGTAAACGATTTCACCGGGGTGCGTTGGCATGGGCAAAGGAGCAGCTGGCCCACATCACCGACTACAACGATAAGGTGGCAGAAGTGCGGGCACGAATCTTGTTGACCTGGCCGAAAAAGGAACAAATTGGTGAAGCCATTACTGGGCAAAAGCTCTTCGGAGGTCGAGTCCTGCCAAGGTTTCACTGGGAGCAGGTGGCATATATTGACCTACTTGAGGTCCGTCAATCCTAATGCCAATAGTAACAATTGTTATTGACACCGACAGTTTTGTGACCAGGAACTCCTTGGTGTCCCAAAGAGACTGGATGGCGACATCGACCTGCTTACATGGACTGGCGGGTTGTGTACCATGCCAGGGGTCCCTGTGTGCAACACGGCTTTGTCTGAGCATGCTGCTTCAAGCTTCGCGCTTCACCTCCATGCCGCCAGTGTCATCACGTCACAGGCAGCCAGTGCAGCTGACAGGACCATGACAACAGTGGGTTTCCTGCTCCAGGGCTGGGCAGGGAGCTATATGTATGGGCACCTTTGCAAACAGAATGTGTATGTCGCAGGGGAATGAAGAAGCTTTGAAGGCTGGCGAGGAGGTGGCAACCTCCACAGGAGCTGAGGTATGTACTCATCTGGCACAAATGGATTAGGGGGGGTCATTGGATGGCAGCATCAACCATGTTGGAGCACCGTTTCATATAGGGTAGGGGTGGTGTGATGATGGTGGACAGAGCTCTGCGGCAATAAAATCTAGATATCTTGCTTTGAACTGTAGGCAGGGCCTGGAGGCCCATCCACACTTTGACAACTTCAACTGCGAGTGTTACCACTGCCCTGTCACCAGCCTGTGGCCTTCCATCCTTCCCCCACCCATCACACACACACAGTCTTCTCTCCTGTCATCATCCACCCAGGGAGGTCACACTGCCGTGGTGGACCCGGTGAAGCATGGCGACACTGGTGATGCTGGCGAGTATGGGGTGTCCGAGGATGGTGCAGAGGTCTCTGGTGCTGGCCAGAGCAATGGGCTTGCCCCTTCGGAAGCAGGCGAACAGGTAGGATTATGCATAATCCTACATGTGGGTGAGATCATCAAGCAAGTGCACTTGAGAACGCCCCCTGCATGCCATCCCCAGTCTAAGCTTGCTAACCCTCAAGCTGCTCCTGTTGAGTATCGTGCGGTCCCCCTGACCCCTGTCTGTCCCCTGTTGCTGCTCCTGCAGTCAGAGGAGCCGGTTCCTCCAGGCTTTGGTGTGTGCAACGAGACCAGGAAGAGAAAGCGGGCCCCAAACATGACCCGGCTGGTGGCAGACACTGAGGAGGAGCAGCAACAGGAGACGGACAGGGGACACGATTATACAGATGATGCCGCTCCACAGTATCCGTGCACGGCAGGACAGCAGGTGGGTCGGTCCATGTGAGGGAGGGTGTACCACAGAGTGCGCAACAGGTACACTGTGTGACACTCCACAGGAGCAGCATGATGGGGTTCAGTGCAAGTCTGCTTCCTGCTGCCATGACTGCCCATCGACCAACCTGGCAAACCCGTCGTGCCTCCTGTGCATCACTCCATGCGATGTGGCCTGCAGGAGGGGGGCGCCTCCGCTACTGTGCAGCTGCCACTGCCATTGCCTCAGGACACCCGTGGTGGTGAGGCGACTGCTTTGCCGTCCCCGTCGGCTGCAGGACCAGCAGCCATGCCCAGCCCATGGTGTCCGCACATGGTAGGATGGCAGGTGGGCGGAGCCTGAGGGGTGGGGGTCAGTCCACATGAGGGAGGGTGTACCACAGTGTGCAACAGATGCACCGCATGACACTCCACGGGAGCAGCATGATGGGGTGAAGTGTGTCGGCTGGGGATGGCATGCAGGGGGGCGTCCTCAGGTGCACTTGCTTGCTGTGTTTGGCACCCCGGTGTGCCATGACTTTGGTGCAAGTCTGCTTCCCGCTGCCAAGACTGCCCATCGACCAACCTGGCAAACCCATTGTGCCTCCTGTGCATCACTCCATGCGATGTGGCCTGCAGGAGGGGGGCGCCTCTGCTACTGTGCAGCTGCCACTGCCATTGCCTCAGGACACCCGTGGTGGTGAGGCGACTGCTTTGCCGTCCCCGTCGGCTGCAGGACCAGCAGCCATGCCCAGCCCATGGTGTCCGCACATGGTAGGATGGCAGGTGGGCGGAGCCTGAGGGGTGGGGGTCAGTCCACATGAGGGAGGGTGTACCACAGTGTGCAACAGATGCACCGCATGACACTCCACGGGAGCAGCATGATGGGGTGAAGTGTGTCGGCTGGGGATGGCATGCAGGGGGGCGTCCTCAGGTGCACTTGCTTGCTGTGTTTGGCACCCCGGTGTGCCATGACTTTGGTGCAAGTCTGCTTCCCGCTGCCAAGACTGCCCATCGACCAACCTGGCAAACCCATTGTGCCTCCTGTGCATCACTCCATGCGATGTGGCCTGCAGGAGGGGGGCGCCTCTGCTACTGTGCAGCTGCCACTGCCATTGCCTGAGGACACCCGTGGTGGTGAGGCGGCTGCTTTGCCATCCCCATCAGCTGCAGGACCAGCAGCCATGCCCAGCCCATGGTGTCTGCACACAGTAGGACGGCAGGTGGGGGAGCCTGAGGGGCAGGGGTCAGTCCACACGAGGGAGGATGAGGAGGTGCTGCTAGACCTGCTTGTCCGTCGCATGGCAGGGACTGTGGCATCATATCGTGAGGCTCGTCACCAACGCAAGGCCACCAAGGCCCGGATCAAAAAGCCAGCAGTTTCGGATTCAGACATTGAATCGGAAAAGGAACCGGAGGACTGCCTGGAACTTATGATTGAAGGATTCCTGACTCAATGGGATGAGGTCCTGCTCATGCTTAACAAGGAAGGTTTGGCAATCGTAAATGACACCCACCTGGCTAGCTTAATCACACCAGATGCTCTAGGGAATGCCACGGAGCTGGTGGCAGGTGATGAGGCAGTGCCAATCTTTCAGCGTGGGGACATTTCCTCGCGCCAGGGAGGCCTTCCTGGACTTACAAATGAGGGCAGGCTCCGCCTCAGCTATGGAACCAGACGGCGGATGATGGTCCAGCTTGATGATGTCCAACCAGGGCCAAGCCTGTCAACCATAGTGTCATATGTGGAGGACAGTATTCATAAGCTGGTCGAGGGGATCCCCGACTTGCAACTGGCCAACCATGGTGTAATCATCGGCAACAACCCTGGTGGCATTGGGGTTGAACCTGTTCGTCGGCAGACGATGCATGTGGATGTCAAGCCCTCTGGCAGTCAGATGTCATTTGTTGCCATAGTACCATTGGAGAAGGACTTCGAGTTATGGGTGAGTCCAGGGAGTCACCATACAGTCCAGGCATTTGCTGCTCGGGCTGAGCCAGCTGCTGCAGCTGCAGCTGCAGTGGCTGATGTGGTGGCTGAGAGTACCAGCGGATCAGGTGTCTCATTGCATAACACTTTGACCCTGCCAGATGAGACTGTGCTTAGGTTCGTACGCCATCTCC